TATATATACACATTTACTCGTGCATGGTTATGGCTGGTTGCTCTAGTTGGCGAATGCACGACATTTCTTTGCGCTCACGACGAGGCGTTTGACCTGGGGATTGGTGCGTGGATTCTCCTTGACCGGAGAAAGTCATTTTCGGCAAACTTTCGGGGAAGAGATAGCTCGGAGAAAAAGTAGAATCGGGTGTGGTGTTACACAAAGTCGAAAATTGACACCAAGTAGAATTGGTATCGCTTTTTCTCAACAACCAGTGGGGCATGGCGGAGAGTTTCGAGCTTGGGCTAAGTTATTCAATTTCTATGAAGATACTAATAGTTCAATGGGTAAGAGTGCGAGAAGCATGGAAACTGGATATGATGAATTCGACCATTACTCGACCAAAAAATTAAAACTTAAGGTGGTCAAACAACATGTTCCACCACCTTAATTTGATGTTCTGTATTGTTGGTAAAAAAGGAATACCGTGTATCCTATTTTATGTTTGACTGCCACGGAAATTTTTGTTCTACTGAACTCATCCGTGACGGTTGAACATACATTTAGTGAGAGTTGATAAACTGTTGATGGACGATGATGATCGAGATTAGCACCACAAATCATAGAGGCACAAATGCTGCTGAGCGATTGAAAGAAGACCAAAAGAAGAACATTAACTGTCACTAAAGAGAATGATGGTGAGCGGAATAATTTTTGTACTACTACTGGAACAGGTGGAACTTAGTTCGACAACGACGACGAGTAAATTGTTGAACGAATCATGTCATCATATTTCATCAAATAAATAAGTTAAGCGAATTACGGGGACTTTAATATAAGTAAAGGATACGTAAACAACTTATTCGACACTTTGATATAAGTAAAGGATACATAAACAACTTATTCGACATATTACTAGTTAAAATATAATTTTTAACAAAATAATTTTTACTTAGCCAAAATATGTTATTTTATTTATATTCACTCCACTACAATTCATAACTATATTATTTTCCATAAAAAAATAATAAAAAAATCCACCGGACATATCGCACGCCAAAACTGGGATCGCCTGATTATGTAACCGGCCCTATACTTCTTCCAGGCCGGTTTAGGTTCCAACTTTACAGGACCCATCAGGTCTTGCACCGAATCGGCGGGCTGGGCCGTTTTGCCATGTCTTGACTAAGCGGGCTTATTCTAACCATCTTGGCCCATTAACACCTCTAACTGAAGAGGTACGCAGTGGCACTTCAGTAATATTTTTAAAACACAAGGTCGATAAATTAATACGATATAAAAATATAAAATAATCTAGAAGGCACGCAGCCCAGCACCTCCACCCTTTGTATAAAATCTCCTCTCTCATCTCATACGCACTTGTTCTTTCCCCTCTCTCTCTCTCTCTCTAACCGCTCCTCTCTCTCTCTCCACCGCCTCCGCCGGCAACCTCGTCTCCTCAGCCGTGAAGCGCTTCCAGATCCGCCGGGTCTTGTTCGGATTTCTCATCAGTACCTTTCGAAATCCCTAATTCCGATCATTAATCGAATTCTTGAATTTTGAAATTTTCTTGAAAAGAACAAAAAAAAAGCCAAATTTGGATGCGCTTTGTTTTTTTTTTCGCATGAATTGACCCTATTGCCCTTGAAGAATCTGCTCGTCCCATCGAAAATCAATCGACGGTCAGGATGAGTTATCACTCCCGTAGGATACTGACACCTAGCGCCTCACGCAAGCGTAAGGAGATGGAGGCCCTACAGTTCCCCACGTCATCCAAACCGTTAATTTCACAAACCGCCGTCCATCGCGGCGTTAGTTTCACAAGCCAGGCGACGACGTCGTACAAAGCGGCGGAGCCGCAGCAGCAGCCGCTGGCATCCAACCGGCTCCTTGCCGGCTACTTGGCACTCGAGTTCCTGACCAAGGGGACGTTGTTCGGCCAGAGGTTTGACCCGGGCAGGGCCGAGGCCTCACCGGTCCGCGCCGCGGAGGTGAAGAGGAACAGGCCCAGCAAGGAAGCCGAGCCGAGTGGGAAGGCAAAGCCGAAGCCGGAGAGCTACGTTGAGGTGGCAAATCTGGTGAAGAGCGACGGGGTCCACATCCCCGGTGTCGTCAACCCCACGCAGCTCGCCAGGTGGATAGAGATGTAGACGTGGATGGATCTCATTGGCTGCGATTCGCGTGGTCTACGTGGAAATTGGATTGCTGGCTGTACATACGACATAGCTCAGTACATTAGAAATGTGTATGTGTTGTCTTGATTCATAATCCTTTTTCCTGTTATTGATCAAAATCGGTTGAGTTACTGAAATTTTCATATGATGGATGTGTTAATTTTCAATATTTCAATATTGGTCTGTTGTAATGGGGTTTTCAGCTGTCAATTTAGGGTTTAGTTCAACAGAACAAGAATCCTTGCTAGAACAAGAAACATTGCACAATAAATCCGACATGACTCTAAATTGGGTAAATCGGAAAAACAGACTTAAGCTTCGCTGGACCGGCCGGACCCGAGCCCACGGCTCAAGCCGGTCCACCTAGCTTTTCCGTGCTACATCATCTAGCACCACCATTTTAAGACGAGCAACCAAGACTTGTGTTGAAATGCCACTCACTGTGCCTTTGAAATTGGTCTGCTTGTGCATTCGATGCACCATTAAAGACCCTGAGCTTATCTATGTCAGAGTGTCTATCTTGTGTGAATCTATGGCTTCTGAGCCAACTTTACACGTCCCTTGCCCTTGTGATCTTCGAGCTACCCGCCCGGAGTTCTGTGACCTTAGGTCGTCTGGCTTTAGGCCTACTTTCCCGGCCATACGGTTTTTCGCAATCTTTGTCTCTCCAACTTCTTGGGCTTCTGCAACTTTAAAGACTTTATAGTCCTCCGAACTACTGGCTCGGTCAATAACCAGGTCGTAATGACCTCCACTTCTTTGATCTACGAGCCATGCGGTCCCTCCGAGTTTCCATGCTCCTTAGGTCTTGCAACCCTCGAGCTTCCTGGCACGGGACAACCTGGCCACCCGCTTTGGGTTGTTCTCATTTTCGAAATGATACTTCATAGATTCTACGGCCCTCAAGAACCTGCTCAAAGTTTTGCCTCCTTACTCGGTCCTCGAGCTAACCATTTGAGGTTCTTCTTCTTTATCTGACCCTTGAGCTAACGTCATATCAATAGTTGTTGGGTCCTGGAGGATCTCCCCCTTGACAACATCCTAGCCTTTCTTGCAATGTCATACTGCTTAACTGTAAACACCAGACTTGAGTCTCTTTTTCGTCTTGTCTGATTTTTTTCCCCCTTTGAGTCAAGTATCTCGAGATCCTTGCCACTTCTCGAATGTTTGCATGCTTAGGCTATCCATTACGAGTTCTAGGCACCCCGTCATGTTAACCTTGTGCGAGCTCACCTTTCTTCGACTAGAGCAACTGGACTTATCATGCTAATTCATCATACTTGGATTATGCTTCTCTTTATTCCATACATTAGTTTCTGCACTTCATCTTCTACAAGTTCTCATTTAAGCATCGGAGGCTCTTCATCGAAAAATTCCTACGGTGTGAGAGTTTTTGCAGGTCCGCATGTGATCTACCGACAAGGAAGCTTGAGCTCAGACCGACTCCAATCGGTCTAAGGTCTTTAGTGTACATACTGACTGTAAATAATCTGAACAGAACATAATGCATTTAATATTATTACCCTCTGTCTATTGACCCATTTATTGGATCTCACAATTTGATAAATCAAAGTAATAGATATTAAATACACACGATTATCGTACAGCTTAAGAGTACGAGTAATAACCGAGTGTAGATATTTGCTTGGCCTATATAGTTCATTAGCCAATGATAAACTTATTCAAAATTACACTACAAACCTTTCATGATAGTTTGTTCAATTCATTCTAGGTTGTGAACCATATTTTATATTTTACAAGGAACCAACAACATGATCTTTCGTTTGACACATCTAACCATATTATCTACAACATAAATTAATAGAACTAGCACTTTTGATTAAACATAATTCTCATTCAAAACTGAAATGTTCGTAAATAAAGTCGAGCTTTTAATATACAAACCAACATTGAACACCAAAACCGCTTGTATATATTTTTTTATTTTACTTTTTGCTCGTTTGTGGAGAAGTCGATCAGTTTGTAAGCCTTTTTTTGTTAATTTCTCAAGACTTAATAAAAATTTATTATCTGATTTACTACTTTCAAGCATGAGTTAATTTATTGACTAGTAGTTCGGAATTTTAATTCGTGTCTTGGATTTATGTTTACTATTGTAGGGAACTTTATCGGAAAAATAAAAAATAAGATGGCTATATATATATAATACCGAGGCCTGTGAAAACACAGTGTCCTTAAAACAGATTCGCCCTGTATAAGCGTCTGTTTCCCAGGAAACAACGAAAAAACCGATACAAATTCGGCGAACTAGAAGTATGCTGAACCAAACATTTAAACAAAATTGGGGAAAGGGACTTTAACAATTGTTTTCTTTTCTTATTTTTCGTACTCACTTTCTTCAAGTGAAGAAGTCTCTTTATATAGGCTAATAAGATAAGCCACATTAATAAGTATTCATTTAATTCTTAACTTAATAATGTTAAGTTACAAGTTCTTTTTTCTTAAATGTGAAGGCATCAAAAGTGATAAGTTACAATTTCCATTCAAATTTTACAACAATCCCACACATGAATAAAATTGAAAAATAATGTTATGGTTCAACATTTGAAACCTGCATAGGATAGATAGGTGTTACCATTTGAACATTCCCTTGTGAACGCACATTAACTTTACTAGCTGACCAGTAAACGCGATGTCTTTGAATTGTTCTGCCTTTTGTGTAAACGATGAATATACTTCACACCAGGATTCTCCTTAACATATTCCAGTTCTCATTATTATGTCCATTAGTGACCCTGGACATAGCCTGGTTCTGTGAGAGGGTCTAAGAATTGAGCCTCACACAATTCTCTTCGAAGCGGCCCCATTTCTCTCTCACGTAGGTAATTCTCAATTATAAGTAGCCCGTACTACCTTCCATACAATAATCATTAAAAGCCAAATGCTTATCCTACTCACCACGGGTATCACTGTTTAAGGAATGGACATGGGATACTATCCCACGGTGATCACAAGAGTCTTTTTACAATTAGGTTGTCCCTTTGAACCAAGTTCTTGGGATCTTCAGTCAACAAGGTAGGATTTTCATTGTATCAACTCATTTCTAGAGGCTTAAGTCCCATTCCTATCAAAGATTTAGCAATCAACTCTTTGTTTAACCCTTTGGTTAGCGGATCCACAAGATTATCTTTTGATTTCACATAGTCAATAGATATAGTACCAGTCGAGAGCAGTTGTCTAATGGTATTATGTCTTCGACGGATATGTCTAGACTTACCATTATGCATATTACTTTGTGCCTTGCCTATAGTCGATTGGCTATCACAATGTATACAAATGGTTGGCACTGACTTTGACCATCTTGGAATATTTTCTAAGAAATGGCGAAGCCACTCTGCCTCTTCTCCACTTTTGTCCAATGGTATAAATTTGGACTCCATTGCGGATCTGGGAAAATAACAGTCTGCTTAGAAGATTTCCATGATATGGCTGCACCTCTAAAAGTGAATAAATATCCACTAGCGGATTTAGAATCTTTCATATCCGATATCCAGTTGGCATCACTATAGCCTTCAATTACATCTGGATATTTATAATAGTGCAGACCATATTTACAAGTATATCTCAAATATCTGAGTAATCTTACAATTCCTTTCTAGTGTTCATCTCTTGAATTACTTGTATATCTACTCAGTTTACTCACGGCAAAAGCGATGTCTCATCTAGTACAATTCATTAGATACACCAGACTCCCTATCACCCTTGAATATTCGACTTGAGAAATAATTTCCCCTTTATTTTTCGACAGATGTTGACTTGTATCTATCGGGGTCCTAGCCTGAGCCAAATCAACCATATTAAATCTTTCAAGAATTTTCTTCACATAATGTGTCTGACTCAGAACAATTTCTTGTGATCTTCTATGGAGTTTAATTCCAAGAATCACATCAGCTAGACCCATATCTTTCATGTCAAATCTTGAATTTAACATATCTTTTGTGGATTTAATAATTTTAGCATTGCTCAACAATAAGCATGTCATCTACGTAAAGACATAGGATTACATAAACACATTTATCACATTCATTAACTTTAAATCCACATTGAATCATGACATTATCAAACTTTTCATACCATTGTTTTGGAGCTTGTTTAAGTCATACAAAGACTTAACCAATTTTCAAACTTTATTCTCTTGCCCGGGAGCAGAGAACCCTTCAAGTTGCTCCATATAAATCTCTTCTTCTAAATCTCCATTTAGAAAAGCTGTTTTTACATCCATTTAATGTATTTTAAGATTTCGTAAAGCTACAATTGCAATAATCACCCTGTGGGATAGTATCCTCGTTACCGGAGAATATGTATCAAAGTAGTCAAGGCCTTCCTTTTGCTTATAACCTTTAATTACAAGTCTAGCCTTATACTTATCAATTTTTCCATCAGGTTTTATTTTCCTTTTGAAAATTCATTTGTAGCCCAATGGTTTACTTCCAGAAGGAAGATCACTAGCTCCCATGTGTGATTTTGCAAAATTGAATCAATTTCACTTTGGATTGTCTCTTCCCAAAGAGGTCCTTCAGAAGAATTTACAACTGCTGAAAACGTTTGTGGTTCGCTTTCAACCATATAGGTTAGAAAATCTGGAACAAAAAATTTTTCAATCCTACCTCTTTTACTTTTCCGAGGTTCTACCTCAACATACCTATCTTGATCTTTTTCCATTATTTCCAAATTTCTTTTAGTGTAACTAGAATCTACTTCAGACTTCCGTGGAAATATGTGATCAAAAAATGAAGCATTTCTAGATTCAAGTATAGTGTTCTTATGAATTTCCTCAATTTTGGATTTATGTACAAGAAACCGATAAGCACTACTGTTGTGTGCATATCCAATAAATATGCAATCAACAGTTTTTGGTCCAATCTTTATTTTCTTTGGCGTAGGTATTGCTACCTTTGCCAGACACCCCCACACTCACAAGTATTTGTAGATTGGTGGTCTTCCATGCCATAATT